GGAGACTGAGACAGGATCTGAGAGTCATCTTCAAATCTGTCTAGAGCTGCCCCATGGAAGATGGAGTGAGCTTGTTTTCTCCAGTGTGATGTAGTGGTTAAGTGTGGTAGACTCCTAATCTGGTGAACCGGGTTCGCTTCCCCACTCCTCCACATGCAGCTGCTGGGTGACCTTGGGCTAGTCACACTTCTCTGAAGTCTCTCAGCCCCACTCACCTCACAGAGTGTTTGTTGTGGGGGAGGAAAGGAAAGGAGAATGTGAGCCGCTTTGAGACCCCTTCTGTTAGTGATAAAGCGGAATATCAAATCCAAACTCCTCCTCTTCTTCTACTTCTTCCTGCTCTGGAGGGTAGGACTCAAACCAATGGCTTCAAGTTACAAGAAAAGTGATTGCAACTAAACATCAAGAAGAACGTCCTGATAGTAAGAGCTGTTTGACAGTGCAAAGGTGGTGGGCTCTCCTTCCTTGGAGGTTCTGATCCTGAAGTTGGGTGGCCGTCTGTCCTGGGTGCTGTAGTTGAGATTCCCACATTGCAAGGGGTTGGACCAGACAGCCCTCAGGGTCTCTTCCAACGACACAATTCTGTGGTTCTAGGGGGAGAATGTGGGTGCAGTAGAATTACACTACACCCAAAGCCTCTTTGTTTCCACAACATGTCCAAAACAATGGCACAACTTTGCAACTGGCTTGAGGGCAACTTCCCTCTCGTTGAGGTCCATGAGAGGGTCTCCCCTGCACAAAGCTACTTCTTCTCAACACGCTCACCCTAGGATGCCAGAGCTCTGGATGTGGTGCAAGTCAGGATCTTTTAGGGCTGCCCTTGATTGCCCTGTGGACCATTCTCCAAGTAAACAGGCTGGATTCTTTGGAGTCTCCCAATACATTTAGAAGCTTTGTTAAGGAGAACCCAGAACTCACCGTTTTTTGTTGCCTTACGGTTGCCCATTTCATCTGCTTAGCCAATCCAAATATTCACGGCCAACAGGTCCCGCCCCTGTCTCCAGCAACTCTCTCCCATGGGAATGGCTTGGCTCCCCTTCTTCTCTCTGTGAGAATCCAGGGAACGGGAAGGGGAAAGAAACCAAGCTAGAAGATGATCACAGGTTGTTTTTTTTTGGGGGGGGGGCTTGTTAACAATCCTGTGTGGCACCTTGAAGGCTCTCCGATTCTGACTACAGTTCTACCTCAGAGCCACTTCCTTTGTGGGATTTGTCAGCCCCTCTGAGGTCCCCCAGGGCGCCTGCTCCGCTGAGAGGAGGGTGTCATAGCAGAGGTAGCAAATCAGCTGCTGCTCCGCCCCTTGAGGGATTCCCCGCTTCATTTAATTGGACAAATATAGGACATCCTGGGAGCCAATCAGAAGCCAGGGTGGCTTCTGGAATTGCAGGACGTCCCACTCAAAGCAGGACAGTTGACAGGTATGTGAAGACCGCCAAAGATGGAGAGTCCACAACCCATAGTGCAGGCATCCCCAAACTCGGCCCTCCAGATGTTTTGGGACTACAACTCCCATTATCCCTAGTTAACAGTACCAGTGGTCAGAGATGATGGGAATTGTAGTCCCAAAACATCTGGAGGGCCGAGTTTGCCTATGCCTGCCATAGTCAATATGGCTGCCTTTCCCACTGGCTGAGATGCTTCTGCCCATTTCATCTGCTTAGCCAATCCAAATATTCACGGCCAACAGGTTCCACCCCTGCCTCCAGCAATCTTTTTTGTTACACTCAATGGGTGTTTGGTGGAGAGCAAGGGGAACCATGGGGCAGGGTCCAGGATGCTCAGATTCCTGCCACCAGACCTCCCCTCTGAGGTCCCCCCACGGCAACTCTCTCCCATGGGAATGGCTTGGCACAGAAGGTGCTCCTGTTGTCACTTGTCTCCCCTTCTTCTCTCTGTGAGAATCCAGGGAACGGGAACGGGAAAGAAACCAAGCTAGAAGATGATCACAGGTTTTTTTTGGGGGGGGGGCTTGTTAACAATCCTGTGTGGCACCTTGAAGGCTCTCCGATTCTGACTGCAGTCCTGCCTGGGAGCCACTTTCCTTTGTGGGATTTATGAGCCCCCTCTGAGGTCCCCCCAGGGCACCTGCTCAGCTGAGAGGAGGGTGTCATAGCACAGGTAGCAAATCAGCTGCTGCTGCGTCCCTTGAGGATTCCCTGCCTCACTTAATTGGCCAAAATATTCCAAAGGGCATCACCCGCCACTATAGAAACCCTCTCACCCCCGGCAGGAGCAATGAGGTGGTACAGCGTTCAGGTGCTAAGAGTGTGTCCCTGCTTTGGGAGGGGAACACAGCCCCCCCAGCAAAGTTTGGAGGATGAGCCAAGAGGTATAGCCGACGTTGGAAGGCAAAATGTTGCAGGGATTTAAGTCTAGTTTTTGGGGGGGAGGGGTTGCCCCTGCAGCAGATATCATGCACATGCAGCCCACTACCAAAATCAGCACCATCACTTTTGTGACTTTTTTGACTTGTCCCCACAAAACACTTCATCACAGTTTCTTCCTATCTGTTCAAAGGGCCTTTGCTGCACAATACCAAATGTAAGAATTCACTGATAAATGTATCTATGTAATAATAATAATAATAATAATAATTTTTATTTATATCCCGCCCTCCCCAGCCAAAGCCGGGCTCAGGGCGGCTAACAACAATCAATAAATCAAATAACACATTCTAAAAATATTTCATTATAAAAATTAGTTAAAATCAAATTGATGGCAACCGATTAAACAAAATTCTGTGCAGGTTGCCAAAGGAGGGAGTCAGGCTGCGCCCTGACCAAAAGCCTGGCGGAACAACTCTGTCTTGCAGGCCCTGCGGAAAGATGTCAAGTCCCGCAGGGCCCTAGTCTCTTGTGACAGAGCATTCCACCAGTTTGGAGCCGCAGCCGAGAAGGCCCTGGCTCTAGTTGAGGCCAGCCTAACCTCTCTGAGGCCTGGGACCTTGAGGATGTTATTATTTGCAGACCGTAGGTTTCTCTGTGGGGCATACCAGGAGAGGCGGTCCCGTAGGTACGAGGGTCCTAGGCCGTATAGGGCTTTAAAGGTTAAAACCAGCACCTTAAACCTGATCCTGTACTCCACCGGGAGCCAGTGCAGCTGGTATAATACCGGATGAATGTGCTCTCGCAGCGAAGACCCCATAAGGAGTCTCGCCGCGGCATTCTGCACCCGCTGGAGTTTCTGGGTCAGTCTCAAGGGCAGCCCCACGTAGAGCGAGTTACAATAATCCAGTCTGGAGGTGACCGTCGCATGGATCACAGTGGCTAGGTCAGGGACGAGAGAGATAAGGGGCCAACTGCTTAGCTTGGCGGAGATGAAAAAATGCCGCCTTTGTTATAGCTGTAATCTGCGACTCCATAGAGAGGGAGGTATCGAAGATTACACCCAAACTCTTAACGGACGGTGCTGGCACTAATTGCACCCCCGCAAGAGATGGGAGTTGCCCCCTCGATCCCATATCGTCCCGCCCCAGCCAGAGGACCTCTGTCTTCGAAGGATTTAACTTCAACCGGCTCCCACGTAACCATCCAGCCACAGCTTCCAAACATCTGATCAGTGTGTCTGGGGCCGAGTCAGGATGGCCATCCATCAACAGATAGAGTTGGGTGTCATCAGCATACTGATGGCAACCCAGCCCAAAACTCCGGACAAGCTGGGCGAGGGGGCGCATAAAGATGTTAAAAAGCATCGGGGAGAGAATTGCACCCTGAGGCACTCCACACACCAAGGAGTGGCGTGATGACAATTCCCCCCCAAGCGCCACCCTCTGTCCCCGACCAGAGAGAAACGAGCGCAGCCATTGAAGGACTGTGCCCTGGATCCCCACGTCGGCAAGGCGGTGGTCCAGGAGTTCGTGATCGACCATGTCAAAGGCTGCTGACAGATCTAGAAGAATCAGCAGCCCTGACCCGCCTCGATCCAGCTGCCTGCGGAGATCATCTGTTAGGGCGACCAGAGCCGTCTCGGTCCCATGACCAGCGCGGAAGCCGGACTGGAATGGGTCTAGAGCAGATGTTTCATCCAGAAACCTACCAAGCTGTTCAGCAACTGCTCTCTCAATCACCTTACCCAGGAATGGAAGATTCGAGACCGGGCGGTAATTGGATAGATCTGAGGGATCTAATGATGTTTTCTTTAAGAGCGGACGCACCACCGCCTCCTTCAGTTCCCCTGGGAATATCCCGGATGCCAAGGGACAAGTTGATGATATCCCCCAGGGGGCCCCGCACCTCGTCTGGACACGCTCTAATCAGCCATGACGGGCACGGGTCAAGAGGACAGGTGGTGGGCTTTCCAGCTTGGAGTACTGGCTCACTGGGAAAACTTAAGAAATTCATATAGACATGTGAGCTCAGCTACTCAGCAGCCCCTCACCCCCTCTGCCTGAGGGTTAAGCAGCCAATAAAAGTTTGGGTTCTCTTTTGATCGGGGATTCCATCTTGCTTCGTCTTGTGGCAGGTGGCTGACCCATGGAAGAGGGAGCCAGCTTGTTTTCTCCTGCCCTAGAGGGGAGCACCCAGAATAAGGGACCCAGAGGACCAGAAAGCAGTTTCTGCTGCCTAAACCGCAGGAAGAACCTTCTGACGGGAAGAGCAGCAGAATCCCTTGGGAGATGGCGGACTCTCCTTCCTTGGAGGTTTTTAAGCAGAGGTTGGATGCTTTGGCTGAGATTCCTGCCTTGCAGGGGGGCTGGAATAGATGACCCTTAGGGCTCCCTCCCATTCTAGGATGAGGTTCCTTGCTTCCTGCAAACCCCTTTTCCCTGCAACCTCTTCCTCCAGTTTCTGGCCAAGGGAGGGAGCGGATCACAGACCAACCAAGAGCGTCCCCTCAAAATGAGCATCTCTGGGATTGTGCAATGCAGGAGAGAAAAGGCAGAGAGGACTGAAGAAGGTGGACTCGGCTTTGCAAGGGTTAAAGGGAACTGAGCTGCATTCCTAGAGAGGACAGGAAGTAAAGGGGGGCCAGGTCCTCCAGGGGAAAAGCCCCTCCCACCCCTTCCTGCAAGCGGGGGGGGGGGGTTGCTTTCCTCTGCTGCAAAGGCTTCCTTGCTCTCTTCCACTGGGATCTGGTGAGTCTCCTCTCCCCCCCCCAGGGTGCAGTGGGGAGAAGGTGGGGGTCCCAGGGCTGCAGCAGGGGAGGGTGGCTCATGTGGGTGGGGGGGGGCGCCCCGGGAGCAGGGGGTCCTGCCAAGGAGGGACGAGGTTTGCAACTACAGTACTCTATATTCTGCATTTGTATAAAGACGCTGCTTACTCCTTTGGGAAGGGCAATCCTCTCCTGGGATCTGGTGAGTCTCCTCCCTCTCCCCCCCCCCCCGAGGGTGCAGTGGGGAGAAGGGGGGGTCCCGGGGATGCTCCAAAACCTCTTCCTTTGTTTCCCTTCTTTCTTTCTCCTTATTGGCAGAGGAGGCCAGCCAAGCAGATCAAGCCGAGCTTTATGAGGAGCTGGGTATGTTGAGTTGGAGAAGAGGGGACAGAGAGGAGATGGGAGAGCCATGTCACCTGGGCGCAGGATTCCAACCCATGGCTTCAAGCTACAAGAAAAGAGATTCGGACTCAACACACCTAGTCATTTTTCACGAGGCACCAATGACTCCCTTGTCAATCAGTTCTGACTTCATGCATTGACTGGAAGGAAGGAGCAACCAGGCTGAGTCCCCTCACATTAATCTCTTCGCTTGCCTCCACATTTCCACAATCTCCCTTCTAGAGGCCTACATCTCCTCCTCCTCCTTTTTAGAAAGATAGCTCAGAGTCTGGGCTGTGGTGCAGTCCTACCCTGGTTCCCAGCAAGACTCATCCATGCTTGCTCAGGAAACCTTTTTCTTCTCCTGATATTAGACAACTTTTGTAACTGAACAATGTATTTGCTTTGTAGGATTTGCCAGAGCTTCTCATTCAGACAGACAGAACTTGGCAGGAGACCAAAGGGTTCCTTCCCATCTCTCAGAGGCTTCCTGAGAGCACAGATGGATGAGCGAGACTCAGCTGGCCCTGGAGCAGGAAGAGGCCATGCAATCCAAACTGGGAGCAGTGGGGGATTCTGGGAAAACTCTGTGCAGAAGATCCTGGGTGAGGAGGACACCCTCCGCTCAGAGGTTCAGAGCCAGCAGTTGAGGCAGCTCTGCTGCCAGGAGGCCAAAGGACCCCGAGAGGTTTGCAGCCGACTCTACCACCTTTGCCATCAGTGGCTGAAGCCCGAAAGGCACACGAAAGCTGAGATGCTGGACCTGGTAATCTTGGAGCAGTTCCTGGCTGTCCTTCCACTGGAGATGGAGAGCTGGGTGAGGGACTGTGGAGCGGAGACCAGTTCCCAGGCGGTGGCCCTGGCCGAAGGTTTCCTCCTGAGTCAGGCAGAGGAGAGAAAGCAGGAACAGAGAAAGCAGGTGAGCGAGACTTTCCTCTGGATACTTCAAAGAGGCTCCAAACAGGATGGAGAACATCCAAAAATGGTATGCTGATGGCCCATCCTTTTTCTGGGAATGAGATCTAACATCCTTAAAGTTTCTGTCTTTGTCGTTCTCTTTTTAATATTTCTCATCATTCATTTACTGTTTTGAATCCTTGTTGTTCTTTCAGAAAAGGGATCATTTTGCAGAAATGGATCTGGATTCCTGTGAGGCAGATGAAAGAATGAAGCCAACAAGACCTCCATATTTATCTTTTCATGGGGGCAGAAGTGAAACAGCGGCTGTGGTACCATATCAGGTCAGGGGAAGCTGTTTTGTGGGGCAGAGGCCAAGGGATGGAAACATGTCATGGACTGGTTGGGCACAGAGGTATAGGGGGAGGAATCAGCCGGGGAACCAGGAAGGGAAGATTGCTCAGAGCCCAGGGAGTGGAGGTGGAGGAAAGAGGGGCGGTCAGAGGGAGAAGAGGAGAAGTCTGGGAAGAGGAGGTGTCAGAAGCTGATGGGGTAATGTGGCTTAGTGAGCTGGGAGACTCTGTGGTAGAATGCAGTGCAGAATCAGAGGCAGAAGAGGAAGAAGGTGAGTGGGAGGAAGGAGGTCGAGAGGCAGAGGTGAGTCAGGATAAGGAGGAGCCACCGGGGGCTCCCTCTCCTTCTGCCAGAATCCACCCTCCCTGCTTGTCTCTCAGAGCCAGGAGTTGCCTGACAATGGAGGAGCAAAGGCAGGCTGCACACTGGCGCACTGTTGGATCGCTTGCCAGAAACCCCAGAGAGGAGGGGACCTGGAAAGCTGTGGGGAGCCAGGGGCCTTCACTCTCAGGAGCTGATTTCATGAAGGAAGACCCTGACTCAATACTGATCTGGAGCAGAATTCCAATGTATAGTTAGCAGAGTAAAAACCTAAAAATATTCCAGGATTCCCAAAAAATAGACCAGAGGCAATTGTATTTCATCCAGCAGAGCTTTACTGCTATTGAAGGCAAATGATCATAATGGTCACAAATCCAAAACATTCAGGATTGGTCTTGTCCATAAGAAATCCAGTTGCAGCAGACTTAACCTAAACTTACCTAAACTTATTAAAAGTCTAAGCCTTAACACTTAACCTTAACACATACCATGCACAGAACACCATCAGGAAGAGAGATAGAAATATAGAAAGAGAAAGTGAAACCCTGGCTTCTTCTGGCCTCTTCTTATATTCAGCATGACCTTGACAGAAGACTTGACAGAACCACACTAAACTTCCACCGAGACAACTAGTCCATTAATTGATAGACAATGCAAATTGACAGACCCACACAGCCAAGTCTGTGAACATCGTGTTCTTGCTGATAAAGAGTAAACTCCAGCTGTGATGTGTCGGATTTCCTGCCCAGATAACTCTGTGACACCAGCCTTCTGAATGTCGCCTGTAGGATTCATCTGTAGTTGCAGTTTTCATGGAATCCTAGAGTTGAAAGGGACCCCAGGGGTCATCAGATCCCACCCCCTGCATTGCAGGAGTCTCAGCTAGATCACCCAAGACAGATGGCCATCCAAACTTGGCTTCTTGTATTTCTATATTCATCACTGAGTGCTAAAATAGGCTTCTAAGCGGTGGACAGACGAGAACAAATAATTTCCAGGATTCACCTAGCCAGGCCCAGCTGCTGCGAAATGGGGCCTGCCCCCCATTCCTCCCCCTCTCCATGCCCCCATGAACCCATTGAATTTGGCTCTGTATTCGGAGGGAACCTCCCCAGAACAACTCACGAGGAGAGGAGAAAGTGGTTCCTTCCATCGGGGAAACTGGAATGCTTGCGTAGGCAGAAAAACGTAAACATAAGCTGGAGTATCACCTATTTGCAAAAAGACGAATACACACACTTAAAATGCAGAATAAAAGAATTCACTTAAAACGTTAAAATAGGTACCCATAATTAAAATGTGCAGCAAAGCAATCCTATTGAAATAACAGAGCAATTAACAGGAAGGAAAGAACAGAGCATTGTGTAGCAGATCATATTTCTGCTGTCTCAGAGGAGGACATTTCCCTTTTTCTTTTAGGGTCCAGTGTGCTTTGAAGATGTCGCTGTTCGTTTCACGGACGAGGAGTGGGAGTTGCTAGATCCTGACCAGAGAGCGATGCATAAGGACGTAATGGAGGGAAATCGGGGGATCGTGGCCTCTCTTGGTAAGCCTCCCTGTGGGATTGTCCTATCTGCCAGGAAATTCAAGAAATACCTTTATATGACAAGCCTCATATATTTTCACAGAGCTCAACAGCGCCCCCTACAACACCTGGGAACTTAACACCCCCATAAGAAATAGTAAATTACAGTTTTTTCTGTGAACAATCTTCCTCCAGTTCTGCCTCCTTCTACCACAGTTGGGCTGATCTGAACTGCCCAGGCATCTTAAATGTCAGCTTCAGAGTTGTTAGGAAAGATAAGTAGCTTCTGTCAGGTTTTCTGTTTTTGTTTTTGCTGCTGTCAGTCTTGGGTTGACCAAAGAGATGACTGACACTGGAGATGGAGGGGATGCCATGAGTGGGCCAAACAACATCTGCCCCAGAGAAGAGCCAGGCTGATTGAATCTCAGGTAGTACTAGCAGTGATAATAATAGCAATAATAATAATTTTTATTTATACGCTGACCATCTGGCTGGGTTGCTCCAGCCAATCTGGGAAGCTTCCAACACATATACAGTCGCATTTCTGGTTGCGAATGGGATCCGTTCCGGAGGTCCGGCCAGATCCCGAGGTTTTTGCAACCCGAGGATCACTGTTCTGCGCATGCGCATGGATTTGCCGCTTTCATAAGCTGATGTTTACGTAACCAGAGGGTTACGTAACCTGAGGTGCTACGGTATAAACATGAAACAGTAATAATAACAACAATCTAATCTAATGAAAAAAGTACAAAAAAATTAAAATGAGTAACTTACTTCAAACAAAGCAAAATTCAACCATCGATTAGAATCCAATAATAAATACATTGGTTTATTACAAATAACAAAGGTAATAAACACACAGCCAACTGCCTTCTCTACAACAAATTTAGTGAGCATTATTTCCTAACTGGGCGCTCCATTTGTTCCTGAGGCTCTAATCCCTTTTTCTCTCCATTGCAGATTGTGATGAATTGGAAAGCAAGAACAAAGAAGAACACAACACAATCTGCAGAGTGGAGAAGGCGCGCAAAAAATTGGAATGTGGAAAGAGCTGCAGTCAGAGCTCCCATTCCACTTCCCATCAACGAAATCGCATTGGAAAGAAACCCTATCGATGCATTGTATGTGGAAAGAGAGTCAGTAGCAGCTCCGATCTCACTTTCCATCAAAGAATTCATATAGGGGAGAAACCCTATCAGTGCGTGGAATGTGGAAAGAGCTTCAGTAGGAGCGACCATCTCAATACCCATCAAAGAATTCATACAGGGGAGAAACCCTCTCAGTGTGTGGAATGTGGAAAGAGCTTCATTAGCAGCTCCGATCTCACTAAACATAAAAGAATTCATACAGGGGAGAAACCCTATCAGTGTGTGGAATGTGGAAAGAGCTTCAGTCGGAGCCACAGTCTCACTTCCCATCAAAGAATTCATACAGGGGAGAAACCCTATCAGTGCATGGAATGTGGAAAGAGCTTCAGGAAGAACTCCAATCTCACTATGCATCAAAGAATTCATACAGGGGAGAAACCCTATCAGTGCATGGAATGTGGGAAGAGCTTTAGTAGCAGCTCCGATCTTACTAAGCATCAAAGAATTCATACGGGGGAGAAACCCTATCAGTGTGTGGAATGTGGAAAGAGCTTCGTTCAAAGCTGCAGTCTCACTTCCCATCAAAGAATTCATACAGGGGAGAAACCCTATCAATGTATGAAATGTGGAAAGAGCTTCGTTCAAAGCCGCAGTCTCACTTCCCATCAAAGAATTCATACAGGGGAGAAACCCTATCAGTGCGTGGAATGTGGAAAGAGCTTCAGGAAGAGCTCCGATCGCACTAGGCATCAGAGAATTCATACAGGGGAGAAACCCTATCAGTGCATGGAATGTGGAAAGAGCCTCAGTAGGAGCTCCAGTCTCGCTATCCATCAAACAATTCATACAGGGGAAAAACCATATCAGTGTGTGGAATGCGGAAAGAGCTTCGCTCATATCTACAAACTCACTTCCCATCAAAGAATTCATAGAGGGGAGAATCCATATAAATGCTTTGAATGTGGGAAGAGCTTCACTCATAACTCCTCTCTCACTTCCCATCAAAGAATTCATACAGGGGAGAATCATGGAATTGTAGAATTGTGGAGCTGGAAGTGAACCCTGGTGCAATCTATTCAACCCCATGTGATGCAGGAATAG